AAATCAAGAAGCCAAGCCTAATTGCGACTACGCTTGAAGTATAAATGGGCGTGTTTACTTTTGTTTAATTTTAAACAGCCTTGGATCAGCTGTTAATATATTCTCTTTTATCCTTTCAGAATCAAATGAAGGAGCTAGAGAAGCTTTCAGCCCTACAAGTAAGCTTAGTATAAATTGACTCATCTTTTCTACGTTCAGGACTAATTAATACCCATAACTTTGCTGTATACCGTAGTTGTTCTTGTAGTCTTCGCTAATAGTGCTCATAGATTATTATTTAACTATAATCAGAGTTAAGCTCAACTCTCAATTTCATATGAGGATAATTAAATCGCTATGTAAAGTTGCATTTCGTTTTCGACAATATTTCATGGGAATGTTCACACATCAAGGCTAAGTCAGAAGAGATAAATTACTGGCTGCTTGCCCAAAGGGCATGAATTTTGACTACCCCGATTAAGCTTCCCACAGTATGTGTTAAATTATTTCTCTCCTAGGCCTGTTGGAAGAGGAGATAAGGCCTAATTTAGTAGTAGGCTTAGAACAATGACCAGTTTTTCAGTACTTTGTGGCTAATTTTTCTCAGAAATTTCAGGTGAACTTGGGCTGAATTGGTACAAGCTCTGCCAGACTTGCTGTTTTTACTTGAGTGTTTGACTCCTTTAATTTCTTACTTTAAATACGCCGACTTAAGCTTCCGACCTGTTTGCTTTAGTAACTGCTCAAACAGATACCTTAGGAAATCATATGATAATCTAGATTTAAGGCAAAACGTTTGGGAAGATGAATAAATGTAAATATCAACATAATAATTTTGTAAATTTGCATTTACACTCAAAATGATGATTCCTCATAAATTTTGAGTAACTAAGCTCTCAAATAACTAACTAAGAAATTAATTAATTAGCATCCAACCTATTAAGTTACTATAAGTCCAGAATTACTAGATATCGACAGACAATTTTAATGAGGAGCCATATTTATAATTATTTCCTTCGAGTCACCTCTTGAAAATAAATCGGATGGAGTCTAGTAACCGAAAATAGGTATTGACGACAAAACAGCAGAGAACGAAACCACAACAAGCCTAGCTGCAAGAGGAGAAGCAGCGCCCTTAAATCTTGCTAAATCCAAATTTAGTTATCAAAATTATCAAAATTTTTTCTTCTTAACTGAATATAGGGCCTACGTAAGAGCACTCATTTATCTATTTAGGAATAAAACTATTATGTGCAATTTACGAATAAATGTTAAAAAGCTGACTCTATATATATATTTTTACAAGTACACATAATCAAGCGAGTGGTTATGTGATAATATATATACAAATAAATTTAATAAGCAAAGTCTGTCTGATTTGTGTGCGTTTGAGTCCTAAAGACCAAGTAGAAAAGTAGTTAGAATGCAAAATATGTGAATGTTTCTAGGGCCCTCAAGATCAGAACAAAACAAACTCTAGCTACATATTTTAGCTAAACTAAAGGTAGTGACAAAAATGGTAACTTGATATGATCTGAGAAGATCAAGCTCGTTGATTTTAATCTCTAAGATTGCACGTGGACAAGGGTCTAAATTATCGAGTCTTAATCAGACAGATTAGTCTGGCCATTCTCCCTTTCCCTAATGAATGTCCACCATTTATTACGCATAAAATCAGCCATACGCAAGCTTACCACTGTAATTTTACTTCTTTACTTGTCTATCCGACTATATCTCCACGCGTCTATTCTTCCTTTTCGAGGCCCTTCGTCATGAAGAACTACTCTTGGAACTGGAGACTGTCCGTCGACGCAATCGCTTTGATTCTTTCCCATCAGCTGATACAGATTCTCTTGTTCTTGATTACCAGCATTTGACTGGGGTCTCAACTGGCTCGAATGAGGCTTTATCATCACCTCACCATCTCGTCGGTGTGTATAATATAAAGAGTTTGTCGGGACAGAAGTTGACGCCTGCTGTACAGAACGAGGATCAAGACCTCTTTGTCTGGAACTTAGGTCGAATGGAAAATCAGGAGCAACGTCAAGAGAAGAGTGTCCTTGATAAATTGAGAGGTTTGCTCGAACTTAGGATAATAAATATGACTCAGCTTCGATAGATGGCATTATTAATGGATTTTTATAGACTTTAAATTCACTGAACTCTTCTCACATTAATTTTAATTATGTAACCTGAGTTTTATTGCATGTTTTTTCATTCATATCTATCAGCTCTAGCTTTTTTTCGAATAGTCAGCTGCTAAATCGGGATCTCTTTCAACCAAAATGTGTATCTTATGATTCTTCTAGAATCCTGTTTGAGGAACAAGTTTCAGAGCATTGATTAACATTTTACATTTATTTGTGCAAAAGAATAATCTTCATAATACGACTCAAACCATGTATACTATTTACTTATAGAGCAAGGGCTATGTCTAACTTATTTTTCAAACAGGATTATAAAACTATTTTATTAATGCTATGGTAAGTCAGTAGGAGGATATCGGACATACAGCTCACTAATGGCCGAAGTTGCTTTTTTGCAAGTGAATGGGCCATTTTAGGTGTGAATCAGAAAGTTATCGAGGGAAAAAAAAGGGAATAACTGGCAGCTCGAGAGACTGTCGGCTGGGGAGCCACTGTACTGGCGACGGAATAGTTCCCTCCGGCAGAAGTCGGCCAAGCTCAGTACCACTCAAGTAATCTTGGCTCCTAGAAAAGTACATTGCAGGAGAACTGCAATTTTTTACTGAACGTGAATACATGTGCCCCCGTGTATGAGACTGTGTGCGTATGTGTGTGTGTGTGTGTGTTTGTGCATTTATGATAAATAAAATGGGCCAATAGTTTCAGGAATTCATACTCACTACTCGAATACGACACTACTGTGTATATATTGCCTATCAGCTAGCCTCGAGTTTAAGGCAAGTCTAAAGGCATCAATGCAGCAAAGTCACTTGAGCAAACTTGACAAAGCTAAATTGCGGGCCAGATTGCTGCAAACTGAGAAGAATTTCCTGGCAGGGTTTTATCATGAAAATTCGTTTTTCATTAGATTAAGCGGACTAACTGACTAGCAAGGGCAATAAAGTGGTAAAAGGAAACATAAGGGAGTATACTATTTCAAAAGAATGTTGCAAAGCATACTTGTATGATCAAGCAGGTATTTGTCTTAGAGCTAGTTCGCCTATTACTAAAAATTAACTTCCAAGACAAAGATAGGTCGATAAAATTAGCAATTTATGGATGATATTGGAAAGAATTCATAAGATGGCTATTCTAAATTGGGCGTATTCGCTATTAGACTCATATGCAAACAAATAACTTATGCCATAGTGATTGACAGTTATACATAAGTGTATTGATTTTTTGGCTGCTGATCGGCCGTAGGGTTTATTGGATGTTGGATAGACATTAAAAAGATAGTTGGTTGGGCAACTAGCAAGACAAATAAGTGAGTAGGTGACCTGTCATATCAGTAAGCAGAAGGAAAATGCCTTAACTGACGTTGCTGACGTTGGATCATTTATTGACTAGGTTTTTCTGTAATCTCAGTATTAAGAGCTGAAATATTTTTAATAATTTAATGTAATGGCTTACCATGCTTCTTACTCCGAACAAATTTATATATAAATGTGTTGATGTTTTATTATTTTTTTCCACTTTTATTTTAGACGATGCATATGTAAGTATTGCCTTATTTGGTCCACGTAATTTCTCTTATTAACTGAGCTAACTCCATGAATTAATGTATCTACTTCCGACATACCAGCTTTAGTAGTGAATATTGGATAAATCACTGGCCATTTAGGTAACATTGCTAGCAAAGTTATGATGTAAAATGAAGTGAAAAGATGAAGCATGCCCACTTTGTAGGCGGTCTGAGCGATCCTTAGATGCAAATATTTACTTTTAATTAAAAAACACATTTATGTTTTGCTAAAATTTGAATGTTTTGATTGTTTGGCCTAATAGCGGAATGCTCTTTGTAAAGTGAACTTGAGTTTTCAATCTCAGGCCTTAGTGAACACAAGGTTAGATAGTATGAACAATGCTGGATGGAAAAGGATTCCTTGATTTACGATTTAAAATATTACAGTGGACTAGGAGGTTGAAAGGTAGTAAACTCATACAGTTTAATCTTCAGGTTGAAAATAATATCCGAGGCCTACACTATAGCACTGATAGTTGAAGTATTCTTAAATGATATGAGTATATTTGATGATCCACAAGATTTTCGCACAGCATTATCTCGCAAACGCTTTCCTCAGAAACGCTTGCAGAAAGATACTTCAATTTATACCTCTTTTAGGTCATACTATTACCTCAAATGGGATTTGACACCCAATTTTATACTAAATTTATTTGGGTTTGGAGGTTTATTCTTTTTTGTGTGCTAAAATTCGACTATCGATTCTACATGATCCTATGCTACATAAGGTGGCTAATTTATGAGCTACTAATAGTCTCACTTCACCTACTATGATGTCCGATCATCAAAACTTCTAGTCCTTATCGACTATGTGTTGGAATTTGTTTAGCGAGCTTCCCCAATGTGTCGATTTCATATCTTCTAAATGGCAAGTGATGCTATACAAAAAACTTAGCTGTCATTGTAACAGATGTGGGTATATGAATATGTATTGTTGGG